CCTCAAGCTCCATCGTCTTGATAATGCTTCTCCGCATCATCATGAAGCGTTTGTGCCGATCTGTGATTCACGTTGAACATCTGTGAGTATTGCTATGACACGCACACGGGAAAAGAAGCAGCAGGACGACGAGAACAATGTCAAGACAAAAAGATCGCGAGCATGCACGACAATAGGAGCACACAGGTCCATAACGAGAGAGGGAGGGAGGGTGGGCGATAGAGGGAAGGAGAAACGAGAAGAGGCTTTCAGCTCATGCGCATGATAATAGGGAGATAACAACACACAACATGTTCGGCAAAGGCTTTCAGCTCATGCGCATGATAATAGGGAGATAACAACACACAACATGTTCGGCGATCGACCTCAGGTTGCTACTGCTGCATGGATCTGAAGACTACCGCGAGCATGCCAAGTGATTTCGCCCTTTCGCCTCCCTTGCGCATCTTCGCCATCAACGGATAGAAATGGGGGAGGGCAAGGGAATGCGTTAGGGGGTGGGTAGTCAAAGGTAAAAATAGGGGTAGTCTAGGTAACATGCTGCGAGACATGTTTTTTGCGAGATGGTGGGGTCACCAACTTCGTGAGAGGGTATACCTGAAAAATGTAGGGTAGGGGTGCTCAAATGCTACTTTCTTCAGATATCTGGTGGGGTATATACAGATAAAATGAGGGGTGTATCAAGATATGATGGGGTAATCAAAACTTGTCCAGCAGAGCTTATGGTAGAAAGTGGGGGTGGGTGGTATTCCAAAGGAACAAGTAGGGGTGCTCCCAATATTGGTGGACTTTACTACAGACGAGTGAACATTATGCACGGGGAACGCTATGCCCGAACAGCGGGAACGGGAGGAGCGGGAGGGAGAGGAAGGGAAGGAGCAAGGAGAGAAGGGAGATTAGATAGGAGCAGCAGGGGCAGCAGGGGCAGCAGCCACAGCAACAAGGGCAGGAGCAGCGGCAGCAGCGGCAGCAGCAGCAGCATCGTGTAAGGTGGAATAGAGGTGCAGGACTAGCAGGTGCAGGAGCAGGAGGAGGAGGAGAGTAAGGGATGCTGAACATGCTCTGAATCACGGAGAACTTGATTCGATTCGATTTGAAGAGAGTGAGATCAGCAAGTAGTGCCAAAATTTACAGAATGCGGAGGATGGGTCTGCAGGCAGAGTTGAGTTTGGCTCGTGGAGGGAAATTTGAGTGGGCAGTGAGGGTTGATACGGTACTTGCTAACTTTGAGAGATGGGGAGGAAGTGTTCAGAGTCAAGAAGAGAACGTACTGACATGCCCATGGGCAGGATTTCTTGATCGGCATGCGGGCCTGATGCAGCGATCCAGTCGACGAGGTCGGTCGTGAGACAAGCGCGCGGTGATGTCTCATGTTTCGACGGCCTCCGCCGCTCATTCTCCCTTGCTGTCCAGCAGATGAACTGCAGAGAGGAAGGGAAGCTCTACTTCCAGAAGGTCTCCTGGCTTCCCGATGCTCGCTGTGTATGACAACGTCCTAATAGGGGAAGTACAGCGCAGCGGCGGAGGCGTACACGGAGGCGATTGTAACTTGATTTGACGACAGTGGAGAAGTCGCTGACTGTGATGGTGTTTTTCTCTCCTCCTCGTCTATTCTCGTCACTTCCTGCGCTCGTCTTCCTTTCCCTCCTTCTGTCCCCTTACCTCGCTCTCTTCCTCAATGCCTCCATCTGCTTCACCTTCCTTGACTTCCCCCGTCCATTACCCTTCTGTTGGTATGCCTTCTCCTCTCCCTCTCCCTCTCCCTCCAGACGCTCGAGCCGTCAGATGCTGCTCTTTATCAGAATCGGGCTCTATGCTATCAGAAGCTTTGCAAATGGAACCAGGTCACACTCTCCTCCCCTCCCCTCCCCTCCCCTCCCTTCCCCTCCCCTCCCCTCCTCCCCTTACAGCTCACCTCACCTCACCTCACCTCATCTCATCTCATCTCATCTCATCTCATCTCATCTCATCTCATCTCATCTCATCTCATCTCATCTCATCTCACCTCATCTCACCTCACCTCTCTATTGCTCTCCTCTCCTTGCAATCTTATTTTTTCGTATTTTTGTCGTCCTCATCATTCTTCCCCTTTCCCTTCATTTCCCTAGTCCGCACCCACTCCAACCGCATCCAGCTACTTCCTGTATCCTCCCTACTTCCCTTCGCTCTCATCCCCTCCACTCTATTTTCTAGCGCATGAAATTGTAGAGTAGGTGCTGGACGACGCACGAAAGGCTCTCGAGCTATCGAAAAAGTCAGTCAAAGCTCAGTACCTGCTGGCCACAGCCTTCATGAATCTCAACCAGGCAAGACAAGATGAGAGGGGGGAGGGAGGGAAGAGAGAGAAGGGAGGAAGGGAAGAAATGAGGCAAGGCAGGCTGGTCTACAATGTAGCGCAGGTTGTGAAAATGGAGGAAAGAGCGAAGAGGATTGAAGAGGGTCGATGGGAGGGAAGGAGGGAGCGTGATGAGCAAGAAGAGTTTTCGATACCTGATGCGGCATGCAGCTGGAGGAAGCAGAGAAAGCATTTCAAGATGCCCTTGTACTTGCTGCACTCCCGGAGTTTTCAGGTTGCTTGCGCAGTAATGGGAGATTGCTCTGACATTGAATTTGTTTCAAGGTTACAAAGAGAGCATTGAGCAGGGGCTGTACTCCATGTACCACAAGCGATGGGAGGACGAGCAAAGCTTGTGAGGAGAGGAAAAGGGGAAGCAGCGAGGGAGGGGGGGAGGGAGGGAGAACAGGGGAGGAGCTGCGACGAAGATGGGGAAGCAAAGTCGAGCAGCTCGTGACATGACGCGAGCAGAGCAATTGGTCAAGATGAGAAGAACAAGCTAATCATCGATGACCTTATTAACGAAGGTCTGCCTCCACCCTCTCCTCTCTCCTCTCGTTCCTGTCGTGATCCTCCTCTTCCGCTCCCCCCCTCCGATATCCTTCTCCTCCTTCCCACTTTCCTCCTCCTCCTCCTCCTCCTCCTCCTCCTGCCATTCGTTCTCCTCCCCCTCCCCGCCCTCTTCCTTTTCTTCAGCTCATGTCTGCTTCTCCATCAGCCTACGACCTGGAACGGGCCAAGGAGGATTCCTCCGGGGAGGTCGGGGCGGCGGAACGCAATCGGGTAGGAAGAGTCCTTGAGCACGGGAGAAGAACAGCAGCGGGCCTCTGAAATCTTGTCAATGGTAGGAGAGGAGGAGGGCGCAGCTCAACGAAATCTACGAGCGGGTCTCGGAGAAGCGTCAGGAGTCAACGATCCCAGAGTCCCTTTGCTGCCAGGTGACTTGGAGGGAGGGGGGTGAAGATCGGTAGGAGGGAACGTTGGGAGGAACGGCTGAGAGACAACAGGAGGGCGGGGGGCCGGGGGGGAGGTGGGGGGGAGGTGGAGATCGGTAGGAGAGTACGTTAGGAGGAACGGCTGAGAGATAAAGGAGGAGGGGAGGGGGGGGGAAGAGGATGCAAGGGGGAGAGTAAGAGCGGAGAGTGGAGGAGGCGAGGAAGGGAGTAGGAGGGGGAGAGGGAGAGGCAGCAGGAGGTCAGTGAGACGGTCGCGGGGCTGAGGCTCGCTTGCAGATAACGTTCGACCTCATGAGGGACCCGGTCCTCACCCCTGCCGGGCAGACCTACGAGAGCGCAGCTCTTGAGCAGCACCTGAAGCACGTGGGGTCCAGCTGTGGTGTGGGATGTTTGCGGGCTGACAAGCAGCTGGCAGAATGGCCACTGGGATCCGGTGACGAGGCAGCCGATCAATCCCTCTCAGGTGGTGAAGAACCTTGCCGTGAAGGTCAGAGCTGACCCTGTTCCTATCAATGCTCGCCCTTCCTCTCCCATCCCCTCTTTCTCTTCCCCTCTCCTTCTTCTCTTACGTCTCTGCTCTTCTCTTCTCTTCTCTTCTCTTCTCTTCTCTTCTCTTCTCTTCTCTTCTCTTCTCTTCTCTGCCCTGCCTTGCTCTGCCCTGCTCTGCTCCGCTCCGCTCTGCTCCTCGTCTCCTCCCTGCCCCCTCTTTCTCCTCTCACTTGGGCTCATGCAGGCGGTTATCGAAGACTTTCTGCGCGAGAATCCCTGGGCGTACGGCAAGTGACCTTGTAAATATTTTATCTCCGACGGAAAGGCTCCAATTAGACGCCCTGCCCTGCCCTGCCCCACCATCCTTGGCACCACCTCACTCTCCTGCTCCTGTTCCTCCTCCTTCCCTCTCTCCTCCTAATCCATGGCGCCTTCCCTGCGTGCGGCCCCAACACCTCCTCTCCTCACCTCCTCCCTGCCCTCCCGATCTGACAGGCTCAGCGATGCGGCAGCAGCACGGCTCGCAGCTCTCCTTTTTCCCCTACTCCTTGCTCTCCCAGTCTCGGTCCCCACCACCGAGAAAGTCCAGAGGGTTGTACGCGTACTCATCAGAGTACATCCCGTCCCCTGCATAGTTGAGCTCCACCCACCCGAGCCGAGCGAGGATTTCCTTCATTCTCTTCTTGTTGTTGCCTCCGTCGCTGATAGCAGTCTGGTAAGGGTACACGTATGCGTTGCTCCTCGACGCCGATCTGTACGTCACGATCTTCTCCGAGGGGATGAGGAGGAACTCAACGTCATCGACGCCCTTCTGCGGCACCTTGCTCGGGGTGATAGCATGCAGGTACTTCTTCCCATCGTCCTCCTCCACCACCCTCAAGGTTGCATCCTCTTTCACTGCCTTCTTCAGCGCCTTCCACGCCTCCTCCGCGTCCTTGGTGGACGAAGTGTAGTCCCATGGCGCTCCGAACTGACTTGGGTTCTTGATTGCGCTCACACTGACGCAGTTGGCGAGTGTCTGGCAGGCGTAGAGCCGCTGGGTCCTGGGATTCACGCCAACGTTCCCCTTTGCGCTTGCCGGGTCGATGCTGTCCTCTGTCAACTCCGTCGCCTGCGCTGGGAGGCCGAGGAGAGGCAGGAGGGGCATGGCGGCGAGCGAGCGCAGGCAGTCCTGGCGAGAGAGGAGGTGCTTGCTCTGGCTGTCAACCATGCACATTGATGTGATTCCTGCTTGACTGCACCCTGCCGACAACATGAGAGCAAGAACGAGGAGATCAGTCAGAGATGATACCTGGTTGGAACTGCAGCTGTGGTGATGTGAGGTAAGATTGGCAGACTGCAAACTAAACAAACATTCAGTAGAAGAAGAGACTTTGCGGATGGCAGGTGCACAAAGAGACTACAACATCGGTTTGTTCAGGCGCAAACCTTCTACCATGTGGTGGACAAAACTCTATTCAATGTTGCCTTATCCTCTCCTGTCCTCTCATGTCCTCTCCTGTCCTCTCCTGTCCTCTCCTGTCCTCTCCTGTCCTCTCCTGTCCTCTCCTGTCCTCTCCACCACTCTCCACCACTCTCCTCCCCTCTCCTCGGCTGTCCTTGCCTCGCTTGCTCACAAACACACACACACACACACACACACACACACACGTTCTCCTCTTCGTCTCTCTCCCCATCTCCTCTCCTCTCCTCTCTCCTCTCCCCTCCCCTCGTTCACTCGCACCTGCAGCAGCAGCATGGCGCCTCCCCGCCACCCCATAGCGCCTCCTCCTCTGCCCATTGGGACGCCTGAAAAACAAACCAGCAGCCTCTATCGGGGGTGGTAAACAATCTTATAGGATATGCAATGGAGGGAGAAGGCCGTGCTGTTAGCAATGGCGGCGATGGCGCTGGTGTATGACATGGCAGCTCTGGCCTACTCGTTCTCGTCTCCACCTCTCCTCAAGACCTCTCGCCTCCTGCTCCGCGCACACGTTCCCGCTCGCGGCCTGCTTCCCCCAGCATCGCCTCCTGTCGTAGGCAGGGTGCATGAAACTAGGAGGTTTCGGCTGAGAGGAGGAGCGCGCAGCTGTCCTGCGTCGATGATGTCAGGAACAGAGAGGTCGGGGACCATCGAGATCCCAGCTTCTTGCCCCGATGCAGCTGCACTACTGTCAAGGCGGTGGAGGGAGGTAAGGGATGTATTGGGAGGGGGGAGGGAGGGAGGGAGGGAGGGAGGGAGGGAGGGAGGGAGGAAGAGAGAGAAGGGGGACTAAAATGTGGACGAAGCTCGTTGCAGGAGGAAAGATATCATCGGAAACGAGCTTTGAGGGCACGAGGCTGAGGTACGGGCTGCGGATGGACGCGCGCGGCGGGATCGAGGAGTTTGTGGAGGATGCAGAGGAGGGAGGGGAGAGCGACGGGAGCTGGTCCAACTGCCGCTCGCTCTACAAGGAAGACAGGGGCGTCATGGTCAAGCTTGTCAGCAGCCGCCGCCTCCGCCCACCAGCCGCGTTCAATCGCAGCCAACGTCGGGTGTTCCCGCCACACGACGACTCCTGCTCGCTCTGCTACGGAGCCATCAGCCTCCCCCTGCGAGAGAAGGCGGCAGTCGTCGCCCTCCCCGAGGAGAGCGGGGGGAGGAGGTGGGACTTCCACTACAACATCGCTCCGGTCCGCTGCTCCTCCATTAGCGGAAGGTAGCCTCGTTCAGAGGGCTGACTCAACCATGGCAGATCGAGTCGAGAGGACATTTCTTGGTGGTCCCTGACATGACCAAGGAGGACAACTGCAGGGAGCAGAAGCTGCTCTTGAGAGACTGTATCGACATGGTGGGGTCCTCCCCGTGATCCTCCCTGACCGCTCTGAGACATGGCAGGGGGCAATGAGCAAACAGCTAGGCGGCGTCTGCCTCAACTTCAACTCGCCCAACGCAGGAGCCACACAGAACCACATTCATCTGCATGCAAGCTGATCGCCCGCCTCTCCTGCTCCCTCCCTGACCTGCCTTGCAGGCATGGAAGCAAGACTACGTGTACATCGTGGAGGGAGCGAGGGAGCGAGAAGGTTGGGAGGAGGCATTTGTAACCTGGATGACGATGGGATGTTGACAGGAACGTGGCAATTTGGCGAAGTCTCAGTCAGAGTAAGAGGAAGAGGAGGAGGTGGTGGTGGTGGTGGGCAGGAGCAGGAGCAGGAGCAGGAGCAGGAGCAGGAGCAGGAGCAGGAGCAGGAGCAGGAGCAGGAGCAGGAGCAGGAGCAGGAGGGAGGAGATCGATGACTGCTGTTGTGCGTCGTACAGGAGCTCGAGTACCCTGCCTTCTGCGTGAAGATCAGCAACGAAAACCCTCCGGAGCACGTAGGAAAAGTCGTTCATACCATTTTGGAGGTGAGAAGGAGGGGAGGAGAGGGATACTGAAGTGTGGGAGGATGGAGGAAGGAGGATGGCAGGGTGAAGGAGAGAGGAAGGGAGTCCGAGAAGCTGACGAGGAAGGGAGGGGGAGGGGAGAGCGGGGTGTTGAACAAGAGGAAGAGTCAGGAGGAGCATTCATCTTTCTTTCCAGGCTGCGAGTGAAGACCCCGACCTCTCTTGGAACCTGGTCTTCTCCAATGGCTACATCTACCTCTTCCTCCGCATCAGCGAGGTTCCACTCTGTTCATTCCTGCCCTCCACCTCAACACCCCTCCCCCTCTGCTCCGTGTTCCTGCCCTCCTTCTCCCCTCCTCCCCCGCTCTCTTCCGACTGAACTGCCCGCCCCCCCCTTCAACTCTCTCGCTCCCTCCTTCCTCTACCTCCCCCTCACCTCCCTCACCTCCCTGAAACTACCTGCCCTCCTCCCTCTCTCCCACCCCCCCACTTCTAGCTCAACTCACCCTCCTCCTCCCAGGTCGCCCCTGTTTCGCTCCCAGGATTCGCCTTCGGGTGCAACCAAATGATGGGGTACCATTGCGCTACTGCTCCTCCTCTGATGGCTGCTTGCTGACTCCATCTCCTCCTCCTCCTCCTCCTCTTCCTCCTCCTGCTCGTCGTCTTCGCCTTCCTCCTCCTCCTCCTCCTCCTCCTCCTCCTCCTCCTCCTCCTGTGCTCTGACTGCGCTGCACCCCAAGGTTCTGGAACGTGGACACGGAAGATCAGTTCGATATGGTGAACTACGACACTGTTATGGTAGCGAGCGTGTTCTTCCCCATGGAGGCCTGACCTGAGTGGCGCATGACGCGACAGAGAGCGCTGGAGGAGACGTCGGTCGCCTCCTCGCGAGGGCGGGACGTGATCTCAAGAGCCCAGGGGATGTTTCAAACTGCCAGTAGCCAGTGACGGTGAGTCGAGCGGCTGGACCACGTCGGTGACCCCCGCAACATGAACATGAACATGTTGAACATGAGTTGAAAGCCTCGCCGGTCAGTCAGAGGCCTCACTACGGCGTCGTTGAAGTCAACAAGGCGCGGTTAAGTGAAGGTATCAGTTAAGTTTGGGGGACAGCAGTCGGCAGGATAGGGTTTGGTTCTCGCTGTCTTTTCGGGAGTCTTCTCGGCCGCCGTACCCGGGCCTGCCCGGCAGTGCCAGAGTCATGATCATGTGACAGTGATTTAACTTCACCGTTGAGTAAAGGAAGCGGCTCCGGCCCGCTCGTCACGGGCACCGCCGACCGTGAGTTCTGACAGTGAGCCGGCCGGGCGGTGACGGACCGGACAGTACGGAACCGTACGGTAGACCGTACCGTGGACGCTGGCCGCGCACTCCCAAACAAGACCCGGTCCGCGCCGTACTGGCGGTCATGATAGCGAACATCTAGCACAGAAAGAGTAGGCGGAGGTCACTGTTATTGATTACGATCTGATCCCACGGCTTGTTGGTGTAGCGGTTAGCACAAAAGACTCTGAATCTTTAGACCGGGGTTCAAATCCCCGACGAGCCTATCTTTTTGGCTACGGCATCTTCACTGGGCCGCCGAGTGGCATCAGGAGTGTCCCACACATCAGGAGTGTCCCACACCGGTGCCAGGTCTAAATTACCCGGCGGGCCTGCCGTGCGGCGTGGGAAAGTCGTGGGGAAACTCAGGGGACTGACTTTTCTCAGTACTGAGTAGACGGCGAAGACCATCGGGCCCGGACTCGCCAAACAAAAAGATAGGCTCGTCGGGGATTTGAACCCCGGTCTAAAGATTCAGAGTCTTTTGTGCTAACCGCTACACCAACAAGCCTGGGTTTCGAACTGGCGCCCTTATGGATGAGAACTCTCGCTCAACCCTCTGGACAACCGGTGTTGCTATGTGTGTGACATTTAGGCTTTATAATCCATTTTACTACCTCCCTATAATAGTTTTACAAGAACCCTACCCCCCTGCACAACAGTGAATGGTCAGGGTCAGGAACTACCCTATGGGACTCCCCGGAATCACTTTTTCCTTGGTAGTGGCTATGCACGACGCCCACTGTTCGTAGCGTCGATCCGCAAGCAGGTCATGTTCAACATGGACAATGATGTCCTCAGGGACTGTTAGGGTTCTTAACATAATCTCGTTCTTCAACCACAACCAGGCTTCTTCACGTCATTTCGTTTCATTCATTCATTTCTTAGTTTTAGTGCTCAGAACAGATGGGTGTGTCTGCCATTCTTCTTCAACATTCACCTCCTGTGACAGCTTCAACAGAGCTTCTTCAACCTGTAAGTTAGAGATCTCAGTGACTATGTCCATGTGAAGATCGATCAATCTGATGTACCCTGTTCGTGAGCTTAGCATAAAGCTCCTCCTCCACGCTTGTTGTCGTCCACGCGTCTTCAATCCCATGCTCTTTTCTTGCCTCCTCCCTCTTCTGTCGGTATTCATCCAACAGATCCTTCACATGGATAGGCTCTCCTACAGAAACATCAGATTCCTGATGCATCTTCCAGAGTTTTCTTAACCGATTCGTATGGTAACCTTGTTTCCCGTCTGCAATGGACTAAGGCGTCATGTGCTCGTCGGAGACCAGGAGCAGAGTCACCTTGGGAGGAAAGCTCTGGGCCCGGCTGTTAGGAAACTGAGGCAGCACTCTGTGCATCCCTGTGTGGTAGAATGGAAGAACAATCGGACTTTGCTCCTCGCAGTACCTGAGGAATGAGTCACGAGCCACCTCGTAGGTGCGACGGGCGTGTACGCAGACAGGAGGGGAGAAAGTCACTTACGCGATCAGCTTCCCTACTCCTGGACGAAGAGGGCCGAGCCTGAGGGGAGGAACAGAGGTCACGAGTGCTCGACTCGATCCCATGTCACCTGCGATCCTCATTCCGCAGCTTCCATGGTTGCCAGATCCTTCCCTCAGGGAAGATGTGACACCATCCTCCTACACACGCATCAGTCAGACTGCCTGCCTGCCTGCCTGCCTGCCTGCCTGCCTGCCTTCCTTCCTTCCTTCCTGCTTCTCTCCCTCTCTGTCATCTCGCCCCCTTGCCTGCTTCCTTTTCCCCTTGTTCGCTTCCGTTGCGCGTCTCTCCCTCCCTCCCAATCCTCGCCTCTCTCCCTTCCTCTTGCGCTAGTGCGATACCTTTCCTGGCTTTTTCAGCAAAGATTCTAAAGGCTTCCTGGTCCCTGCCGGCAAGCCGTTAACGATCTCAAGTCTTTTGTGCTTGAATACATGTTGCGATTTCTGTAGATTGGAAGACCTCTCGCCGCATAGAAGAACAGCTGAACGAGCGTGTTCACTGCTGAACCATAGCACACAGCAGCACGGGGTTTACCTGCGCAAAGATCGGGCCCAGGCGGAAGAACATTCCATCATGGCACAGACTGTAACGCAGCTCCCACTGCTTGATCGGCCAAGGGATCAAGGTAGAGAAGAGGAGAGGCTCGTCCAGAGAGGAGCAGTGATTCGAGACTGTGATGAGCGGTGCTCCCCGAGGACGGGAGCTGATCAGCTTAGTGAGCCGATCATGATTCTTGATCTCAACCTTGTTCAGGATGTACATGAAGGGTTTCCTGGGCCCCCAGTCAGTGCATCACCGTGCCAGCAGCTGCGTGCTCACTGGATGAAGGTGTCGAAGACAAACACAAAGAGCTGCCCGTAGATCTCGCGCAGGAGGATAAGAAACTTGACCAGCAAGAATCGCGTCAGGGAGAGCAGGGACGTTGTCCCCTTTGAACGGCTCGCGGCGCCTCCTCCGGTTGCTGGCGTCTGGCTAGAAGCAGACATTCTCGTCCTCGCGAACCCTCCGCTGCTCTTGGGGCGGGGAGGCACTCGTTGAGAGAGTTGAGAGGGGAAGTGCCGACCGCGCGCATTGAGCTGGACAAACTGTGAGGGGGCGAAAGCGGACGCCATGGACATGTGCGCGGCAATAAGGCCCAGCAGAAGCCACGAGGCTCTCATGTGGTGATGCCTGTTGTCAATAGCGTCTCAGTTCATCTTCCTCTATAAGTCGTCACAGAAGCGTGAAATCTCTAGCTCATGCGCTTGCTTATGCTTCGTATGAATTCCACTACATTTCCATCCCCTAGGGCATCCCGAAACAATACTGAGTAATGTTTTCATCTCCTCATCGTCTCCTTTCTCACACCATTACTCGCTGGCTACCTCTCTGCGTGACGTTCCTCCTCCTCCTCCTCCCTCTCTCTCTCCGCTCTCCACTTCCTATCGCTTTCTTTGCCGCTGCGGCCGCGGCCATGGCCCGGGATCCAGAGGTTTTGCCAAATTTTCAAAGTTCGAAACTTCTGAAGCCGAAAAGTTTAAAATTAAAGTTCAAAACATGTAACTTGTTCAAAGTTGCTGAAGTTTCTCCAGGTTTGTGGTGGGGCGGGCCTGCCATGGCGGACTCCTTCCTGGATGGCGAGAGGGAGCGGCGGCGGCGAGGAGGAGGGGGAGGGGGAGGGGGAGGAGGGAAGAAAGGGAAGGAAGATAGACAAGCATTCTTAGCACGAACGCAGGCACAGCGAGCAGCGAGGCAGCAGAGCAGGCAAGAGGTCAATGCTGCGGTGTCGATTCAGGCGTGGTTGCGAGGTCGAAGAGCGGCGGCGGCTCTGGGGAGGGAGATGGTCAAGGAGCTCCACACTGTCTTGGATGGTGAGAAGAAAGAGGAGCTGAGAGGATGGGCGCGAGTGAGCGATATCATGAAGCGGATGAGATCACAGCGAGGGGAGAGGGAACTTGTCCTGCGAGCAACCCAACTCGTGTCGAACGAGTTCAAGGACGTGTCTGAGGAGAGTTACATCCAGCGAGGGCTGAGGGAAGAAAAGAGCATGTTATGCTTGCAGCTCAAGAGAATGTGCTACTTGGTCTGCCAACAACTGGTGGGTGTTGCTGACAGATGTGTTTCTGTGACTCTGTGTTGATGACGCCTCTTCCTCCTTCTCTTTGCAGTACGTTTTTTCTCGTCCACATGCATGGGTGTGTTTGTGTAACAACAATATGTTGAGCTGCTTTCGCACCAGCGATGTGTGTGTCTCGCTCTCATGCGAGCTTGACTTATCGTGGACAGGCTGGAACTCGTTGGATGATCGATGGAGACAGGGAGGTCAGCAGCAGCTACACGCAACTAACCTTGCCCTCTGACACTTCTGCACCCAGGACTTGATGTCTCTGCTGCAGTTCTTGTACTTCTTCTCCGACCCCTCCCTCCCGCAGCGATGGCAGGAGGCGCCCGCTGGCACTTTCAGGAGCATGCGGGGAGAGGTAGCTGACTGTCTGCACGCAGCTGCGCGGAGGTTTGACTCTTCCCTCAGATCCTGTTCAGCATTGTGCAGGAGGGGCGCCTCTACACAAGCATCAGGCTCCTCCTCCTCGACCCGTCCTGGCAGGACATGGATGCTGCAGGGTCCAACCAGAAGCCCGCTGGTCAATTCCATCTAATCCTCAGCTCGCTGCTCTGGGCCATCGCGCTGCACCCTCTTAGCCACTCGTCGCCTCCTCCTGGCAAGCAGCATGCGGTGGCCTTCGAGTTCGCTCGGGAGATCCTCTCCATCCCTCAGGTCGAAGAGCTCCCTTCCTCTCCGCTAGCATCCTTCACACGCTGACGCTGCGCTGAAAGGTCCTGAGCAAAGTTCCTGCTATGATTCAGAGCTCCCTCACTCACCACACTGTCTGGCCCAAGGTGGGAAGTGGGGTGGACCGGCATTGCTGTGACGTGGGCCTGCAGCTGATTTATGCGATCGGCAACAGCGAGGCTGCATCGGACTCGTCAGGGAAGCAGCAGCAGCAGCAGCAGCAGCAGCAGCAGCGACGGCAGATAGGTCTCATATCCCCGTCGTAATGTTTCACTAAGGGTGGGATGGAGGTGAAGGTGCGACTGCGGTGGCAGCAGATCGAGCGATGGATCTGTTCACCAACGTCGTCGAGATCGCCAACGTCAGGCCCATCCACGGCCTCCAGCCGCTCTACCTCTCTGGTTTGTCAGCTCGAGTTCCAGCTGGGCAGTGATTGAGTCTCGTCCCAGCTCTGTTGAGGCTCGTCGACAAGATTCCGAGCAGCGGCTGGACGATGTCTAAGATGTGAGCATCTCCTCCTCCTCCTTTCCTGTCTGCTGTAGCATCCCTCCGTCCCTCCCTCCCTCCCTCCCTCCCTCCCTCCCTCCCTCCCTCCCTCCCTCCCTCCCTCCCTCCCTCCTCTCCCTCCTCTCCCTCCTTCCCCTCCCTCCTCTCCCTCCTCTCCTTCCTCTTCCTCCTTCCCTTCCCTTTCCCTTCCTCCCTCCCTCCCTTCCTCGCCCCCTCCGCCCTCCCCGTCTTCCTCCCTCTTCTCACCCTTCCCTTCGCCCGGGCTGAGGAAAACATTCTGCAGCCAAGCCCAGCAGCTCGCGCCGCTGCATAAGCCGAAGCACATCCACTGGCTGTTGCTGGGGTTGGGAGGTAGAGGGGAGGGAGAGGAAGGGAAGGCGCTTGAGATAGGAGCCGAGCTGAAGATAGAAACCCTCAGTCTCAAGGTGAGGGAGGCTGATTGCTGTCACTGTCCGCCATGTCCAGCTGAACTCCAGCAGAGCTGGAGCTTCGTGGAGTGGTCGAAGATCTACTCTGACGTCCGGAAGCTGAGAAATTCTGATGGGAAACCCAAGTACACGAACGAGATCGTCTCCTTCTGCCAGCTGTATGGGTGAGAGAAATGCAGTCACTGATTTTCAGTTGCTGATCCTCCTCCCTGTCTTCCGTCCTCCTTCCTCCTCCTCCTCCTCCTCCTCCTGTCCTCCTCCTCCTGTCCTCCTCCTGTCCTCCGCTCCCTTCTCCACACAACTGCTCCCTCCTCCACTACCTTCTCCTCCTTCTCCTCCTCCTCCTCCACTGATACCATCACCAGGAAGCTTCTTCGTCTCTGGACGGTGGCGAACGTTCAGGTCTTGAACGCCATCTCCTTCGACAGCCCTGTGCACGTGAGCCTCTGGTCATGGTTGCGATGCTCGAACTTGCTGCAAGGATACATCGATGAGGGAACAGAGGTGAGGGAGGAGGAGGGAGGAGGAGTAGCAGCAGCAGCAGGTGGTGGTGGAGCAGCAGCAGCAGCAGCAGCAGCAAAGCATGGCGGAGGTGGTGGGGAGGGCAGGGGGCTTGGAAGGCAGAACAAGGGGCCGGTGAATGGAGGGTGGGAAGACAAAGACGTGGAGGAAGGAGGCAGGAATGGAGGCAGGAAGGGGACCGAGGAGGGGAGCACGAGCATAAACAGGAGGAAGCAGGATCATGAACTCGGTCTCACCCTCCTCTCTCTTTCCAGGCCGGGATAGTGGGGGATGTAGCCTTCCTGTTCTGCAAGTGCTACCTGCACCGCCTCATGGTCACTGACGACACTGAGTTCTACGAGCAGCAGGTCAGGACCTGGTTGCGTCTCCTATCGCTTCCTCCGCTGATCTCTGTCCCAGGTTCCCTTCCCTCTGAACCAACTGGTCGAGATGGCGCTCTTGATCAGACAGGCAAGATCCTCCTGCTCCTGCTCATGCTCCCGCTCCCGCTCCTGCTCCCGCTCCTGCTCCACCACCACCTCCCCCTCTCCAACAGACTGAAGGGGGTTGAACTTGCAGTACGTAAACCGTCGGTTCTGGGGAGCGGACAACGTCTCCTCCTCTGCTGCTGCCCGACAGGCTGTGGCCTCTGCTGAGTCGACCAGGGACATCCGGCAACAGCAGCGGGAGGCCGCGACCATGGTGGGCAGTTCATACTGGCGTGCACAGGCCTGTCTGACTTGAAATTTCCACCCCTTCCTATGCAGCTCCTCCATCAGCTCTATGACCGGAACGCGCGAAGAGAATTTTGTCCGCTGGAGATATGGTTTGGCTCTCTCCTTCTTTCCTCCCCCCACCTTTCCTTGCCCCCAACCCTCCATCATCGCCTCCACTTGCTCTTCTTTCGTCCCTCCCCTTCTCTACTTTCCTTCTTCCTTTCCCTTGTTTCTTGTGCCCATTGGTTCATTCCTGCTCCACTTCCTCCCCGTCCCGTTCGCCCTGCCGGAGTCTCCGGTCCCTTTATGTCTTGAAGCTATGTCATGACTTATCCCTGCAAGAAATTACTTTCCTCCTCCTCCTCCTCCTCCCTGCTCCTCCTCCTGCTCGTCCCTCCTCCTTCCTTCACTTCCTTCCTCCTACCTCCTCCTCCTCCTCCTCCTCCTCCTCCTCCTCCTCCTCCACCCATTCCCAAGCCCCCCCCCCCCCCCCTCCTTCCTCCTCCTCCCCCTCTCCCTTTCTTGCTCATCTTCCTTCCCCCAGGCTGCAGAAAGGTTTCAAGATGGACGCGTTTGGCATCGACTCCACCGCTGAGGACAGCCAGACGCTCGTCGTCCTCCGCGAGTTCCCCCACGTGATCCCGCTGAAAGAGAGGGTCCAGATCTTCCAGCGGCTGATCGAAGAGGAGAAGAAGAGCCAGCAGTGGCCGACCTCCCTTGTCAAGATCAGGAGGCAGAGGATAGTGGAGGACGGCTTCAACAAGCTCGGAGTCCTCAGGGAGGAGCTCAAGGGGGTGGTCAAAGTCCTCTTCGTCAACGAGAGCGGGCTCGACGAGTCCGGCATCGACATGGGGGGCCTGTACAAGGAGTTTCTGACCCATTTCATCGAGCGAGCCTTCCATCCTGACTACGGCCTCTTCAAGTACTCAGCTGAGAGGCAGCTCTTCCCTAACCCCCACAGCCACATGATGGTTCACTCCCACTTGGACTACTTCGCGTTCCTGGGGAGGATGCTGGGGAAGGCCATGTACGATGGCATCCAGATGGACCTCTCGTTCTGCGGCTTCTTCCTCTCCAAGCTCCTGGGCAAGCACAACTACCTCGACGAGCTGCCGTCGCTCGACCCGGCCCTGCACAAGAATCTCATGTACCTCAAGAACTACGAGGGGGACGTCCGTGACCTCTCCCTCGACTTCACCGTCACCACCGACGAGATGGGAGGAGGGGAGGTGGAAGAGCTGGTCCCAGGAGGCTCCAACATCGAGGTTACCTCCTCCAACAAGATCCAGTACATCCACCTCGTGGCCGACTATCGTCTCAACAAGCAGATCAAGCGGCAGTGCGAAGCCTTCCTGCGAGGCTTCCAGGACGTGATCCGCGTGGAGTGGATCAGGTTCTTCAACCCGGTGGAGCTGCAGGTGCTGATCAGCGGGGAAGACGACGGCGGGTTCGACGTCGAGGACCTCAAGGCTCACACGGTCTACTCTGGGGGATATACCTCCCTCGACAGCACTTGCCGGAGGTTCTGGAAGGTCGTGGCGCAGTTCTCGAGCAAGGAGAAGTCAGCTCTCCTCAAGTTCGTCACCTCCTGCCCGCGCCCTCCCCTCCTTGGCTTTGCCTCCCTCCAGCCTCCCTTCACCATCCATCGCGTTCACTCCGACAAGGGCTTCTGGGACTACATGACGGGCAAGTCGGAGGATCGCCTTCCGACCTCAAGCACCTGCATGAACCTCCTGAAGCTCCCTCCTTACCCGAGCTCCTCCAACCTCCGCGACAAGCTCCTCTATGCCATCACGGCTAACGCCGGGTTCGAACTCTCGTGAGCATGCCATGACTCCGATGAAAGTAGTTGGTCTTTCAAGTTAGTTGTACATACAGCAGTCGCGGTCTAACAGTAACTTGGGTAACTCCGGCCCGTGCGACATCCGGCATGTTGAAATGATGTACGGCTACTATGATGTTTGACTACCGACTCCGTGGATCTTGAAGTCTCCTCTTCCTCGGAGTTCATACTGGTTCCACTCATTTACAACAAGTAGAGATGCTGACTGTACAGTAACAAGTCATCACACTCCATGAGTTGAAAGTTAGAATGATGCGACACTACAAGGTTGAATTCACTATGGTGCAACCGCCCTGCCGCTATTGTGAGACAATAAAATTGACATAAAAACTAAAGGAAAAGTATTGAACCTACTTCGAATCCTACTGACATTTTATCTTTTTTCATTTTCTGTCACTACAAGTAGCACTTGGCGCCCCGTTGGCTCGAGTCTGAGTTAGCTTCATCTTCTGCAAGCAGACACACTTGGGGACGGACACTTGAAATGATTCCCTTGAGATATCTGCTTCTTGGCCTGGTTCCCGTCAGGGACGTCAAGTTACTAGCATCGCGGTCCCACTTGTTTGCCTGGTCAGCTACGAGGATGAGCTTGGGTCCTAGGACCTCACTCAGAGCACTTGACCCAACCTTGTCAGCTACGAGGATGAGCTTGGGTCCTAGGACCTCACTCAGAGTACTCCCAACCTTCTCAGCCGCTCGCGGGCGGGCAAGGATCTCAGCCACAAGCTCTTGGAATTCATATCTCAATCTGGTGTGCTGGATACTGGGGGTTGATGATGCGGCGAATCCAAGCTTTCATGTGATTGCTGTTGCAATGGAGCTGCACAGAATGGACATGGAAAAGGAGCTGGGGCTGCAGAATGAAATGGAGGACAAGATGCACAGGAATCAAAAGTACCTTGCCCATTACTACAAGCGTGAAATATCCACCTTCACTCAAAGGTGTGCGTCTTGATTGAGATCTGCAGAATGATATTGATAACGCAGATACGTCCTTGAGGAGCTGTTCAGGGAAGTAGTGTGCATTGTTCAAGATTCCGAGGATCATGCGCTTCAATCTATGTTGCCGAAGACGGTTCTCAATACGATGCAGAGAGGAGAGATTTCTATGTCTGACGTATTTCGGCTCTTGAACGATCCGGAACACGCAAGCTTTCGACGGAATGTGTGGAAAACGATCGGGTTACCACAGGACCTTGTGTTACCCCCGTTTGATCCAAGAACGATGATGTATGTGCAGCTCTCTGAAATGATACGCTGTTCACCAGGAAAGTATGTGTTTCTACATTCATATGCAGATGACAGAGAGATCATATTTTTCAGCGAGGTTGCAAAGCGTTTCGAGAAGAAGGTAGACTATTTCGACCCCGTGTCGGCATTTGCGGGAGAGAGGATCCTGAAAGCGGATGATTTCTTCCCGCACAACCGAACGAATTTTGAACCCTAAACCCAGAAGTCCAGGCCATGACTGGGACGGTCGGTTATCGTCTTCCCTTGCCGTGCATCGGGTTGCTCCAAGTCGGCCTTGTGCTCGGAGTCCTACCGCAGCAGTGCTGCAGGGCCCGGGAGAAAGGCAGGATGTAGACGTCACGGTGTTGTGTGAGGTGTTGGAAGTAAAGACTTAGTTTTGCAAGTTGCTACGGAGTCTGAGCATGACTAGCCGACTAGCCGTACCACTGCGGCAGAGTGACTCAGCTTCCGCCGGTAGCATTCAAGTGTCGAGGTCACAATCTAGATATCATAAGTTCACAGTCAGGTACGGTAGCCCGTCAGCGGTACCACTGATGGAACTTGGAGACAAGTCAGCCGCCGAGTTTTATTTACCGATTGAACAAGTGAGAGAACCCGATCCGATGATCGGCGCACTGCCTGCCGCAGGGCCGCACAATCATCGGATCATTGTGACAGGGATACGAATAGACCGTGGCTCTGAGTCTGAGACTGAGAGCTGTCAACTGATAGCAGACCGTATCATTCAATGTATCGGACTCACCGTCCAGCCGGGAATCATGAGCGGCCGCAACTTGCCAAACGGCAGCGTCCGATCGCCGGACTCGGGAGGGCGGAAGCCGGCCGCGGGCCCGGCGGCCCGGCCAATCGGCGTGCCACTCACTGTCGCTGAGCCTCAGTGTAGCCTCCCGAGTCCCCCGCGAACGGCCCGATGACCGGCGGCGGCGGCCGCGTAAAGGGCCGGCCCCCCGGGCCCGGCCCGGCCGCGGGCGCCGCGCCGCCCCGGTGAAACTTTCAAGATGCACGCGGCACGCGCCGGCGGTGACGGCAAGCCGGGCCCGCAGTCCGGGCTTCAGTGACCGGGGGCCGCACGGTACTACGACGGTACTACCGTACCGCGGTACCGTCCGGCGGTCACCTACTGCCCGCCCGGGGACCGTACCGTGTACGGGCGGCGGCCGCAGTACGCCCCGACGGTACCGGCCGGTACCGTGTACGATACGGGCCGTGCCACGGTGTACGGTACGCCCCGGCCGGACTGAGCTTCTTCACGGCGTCCCGGCGAGGCAACCACCAGACGCCGTTACCGAGGTTCCGAGTGACTGCCGCTGAGGCCCGGGCGGGCTCCGACTCGGAGGCCCCCGCCAGTCCGATCACTCGGGCCCGGCCGGCCATTGCCCATCATGCGGCCGCCCGGCCCCGGGCCCGCCGCCGTACGGTACGGTACCGGGCCTCGATGATCGGATGGCCCGGCGGGCCCGGCGGGCCCGGCCAGTGCCCGCCAGCCTGGCAGGGTCAGGGCTGACTACCGTACGGTACGAATCGGAGGACCGTCCGACAGACCGACGAGTCGAATTTACGAAATCTGCACCCCCACCCCCCGAACATGTCGGAAGCAGGAAAGTAAACTGGGTCATGGTACGTAGGGTGGTGGATGGTGGCGGTGGGTGGTAAGTTGGTTGTCAGAGATGAGGGAAACAGGGGTACCCATATCTGATGGGTGGTTGAGTAGTAATAGCGGATGGCGCAGGTGCAGGTGCCAGGTGCAGGTGGGCAGGCTCGGGGGGGGAGGGTAGGGAGGGTAAGTGGGGTAGGTGGTGGTGGTGGTTCGTAGAGAATCGAGGGGTGGGTGGTCGTTTCTCGAACAGTGACCCTGTGTAGTAAAAAAGACAGTCGAAATAGACTGATGAAGTGATTCACTTCCAGAACGAGAGGGTGGGGTACTAAGTGGGATATTGGGGGGTCATGGACCGATTAGCGCTGTAGGCAAGGGGTCGCTACGAAGGGTGGGTGGCACTCGCTCATTCCGGGGTAGAGAGGTGGTACATTCGTGGTATTCTGACGGGGTGGGGTAGTAGCTTATTATGAACCTTATCTGTTCACCCACATTCTCCGGAAACTCCACTTGAGTGGGTAGGGTACCTGGTTTTTACGGGGTACAGGGTGGTACGGGCTGGAATGACCCGTCTTAAATGTACCAGTTGAGTAAAAGAGAATGGAAATGGGGGGTGGTGATGGGTGAAAATCAATTGCTTAGGGTGGTAGGGGTGGACCATTTAATTCTTGTATTTTGATGGCCTGGTGATGGGCTATGTCAGTGATGGGGTAGGTAGTAAATGTTGGGACATAGGGGTAGGGAGAGTGCCGGAATTTACGACATAGAAAAGGAGCAGGTAGGGGTGGGGGGTACAACCCGGATGGAGAAGGTTGGGGTGATGGTATGTTGGATAGAGGGGTGGGTAACTAGGGGTAGGGGTGGTGCGACGGAAGGTTTCTAACCATGTGCAATGATTTGGCGGGGAAGCATGCAAGATGGTGGAATGGCCCGGGGAGTTGAGAGGAGGAATGGGGTATGGCGAAGATGATGATCTGATGGACTAACACTAGTGAGAGAGCTAAAATCTTGAACTTGCAAGCAGCTAGCTCTAAACTTTCACCTCGTCGATTTTCGAAACAAGGGACCACTCTCCGGTATCGTGAAAGACAGTTCACAACATGGACGAGCGAGGTAGCTTAGATCAGACAAGTATATGAGGGCACATTTCTTATACATGCAGGATTCTCGTTTGCATCCATGCAATGAACATGGTCTCGCCCAACAAATCCCCAATGCGAGTAATGGACCATTGCTCGCAAACGGAGACGGAGCCAGCGCAGGCCCTCCCGGACTCTCGTTTGCGCACGAATCCCGCGAATGGCTGAGCTTTATTCGTACAAGCTTGTTGCAGACATTCTACGGGATTTACTTCCGATCCACAACAAGGGCAGGCAACTTCCTTGGGAAGAACTCACTAATGATATTCCTGGGATCTTCGGTGGATCCTTGGATACGATACCAAGTGCTGCCGGTCCCGAGCTTGCTCATGAGCTCTCTCTGCTTCATAGCTTCTGTGTGCTTTCTGCTGGCCATGGTGGGCAACACGTTGTATATGATGTATCATCTTTCTGAGGTGGGTAAGACTAACCACAGACATTTCCGTCTGTCCATTGAGGAATCTTTGAAGTATGGTACTTCCGGCGTTATCGATGGAGTGACCTTCGGTCTTGTCCATGATTCTTGTGTCGTCTCCTTGCAAGGAGCCTTCAGGAAAGCTGCGGGATCCAGCATCTACCTCTCGTACCCCGAGCCCGTGGAAGCAAACGGGTTGTATATTGTTCACAACGGAACTTATCCTACTAAGTTCTTGCTGGAAGCATCTGAGGACTTGCAGACTTGGAGTGTCTACGGCGCTTCGTCCAAGCGATTCACTTGCACTGGTTTCTTCCTGCTTGACTGGGTGTATCGTCCAGACATCGCGCATGACTACACGAGGGAGTCTTCATTTGCTTCCGATGTTTGCCTGCAGCTGAGGCAGGAGGGGGACGACTCGAACTGTGACGGTCTGATCTTCATAAGCAACGGATGGCGATGGACGATGCTCTTTCCAATAGTTGGGAACATGCTGATCATAGGGGCGCTGATATGTTGGATTTACGTCTCAGTCAAAACAGAGTATGCCAGCGTAATGAAGTATCCCCTGTTGATCTTTTTGATCTTGTGTGCTGCGGAGTCTCTGTCTTTTGCTATCATCTGGTGTACATTGCCGACCCTGTCAGGTGTGACTCAGCCAGAGAACAGTATGTATGCATGGGTTCTCTTTGTTTTGTATCTTCTCTTAGCTGGGGCAGTCAACGTGATGTATGAAAAGTATTTCTTGTCTATTTGTATAATATTCGAAATTCTCTTCTTCATCAGCGGTTATGTCAACCTTTGGTATGTGTACGGCAACTCGGTGCCCGTTTCAGAGTATTTCTTGGCATCTGTTTATTTTGTCCTCATCGCGGGATTTTCTGCAGTCATCCATGCGAAAGGCGCCAAGAGATTGCATTTTGCAAACAAGAGGTTCGAAGGCTTTCGAACCAGAATGAGGCAGATGGTGGTTGACACCTTAGGGGATACAAACGCGAGCTCAGTGTTGGACTCAATAGATAAAAAACTTGAGTTGCTGAGGTCCGGGAGGAGAAACACCGTAATTCAAGATTCTCCGTCCGCCATGGACCTTGGTTCAATGCGCTTCGATCTCGCAGCAACCATGGCCGACTTTGCCTCTGATGCCGTCGTATCTCAGGGGCCAAAGGACTCTCATGTCGCTTGCCTTGACCAGTTGTTCATCCAAGCAGAGATGCTGAAGCCTTTCCTCAACGTGAAGGTGTTGGAGCTCGCGATCAGGAACGAGGGCATGTTGAAGTCAACGAGCGGGGAGTGGCTCTCTGCTCAAGAGCTCCAGAGTGACCCAGAAATCTGTTCACGGGTGAAATGGACGGAAATCAAGAGCGTTCCGCGCATTGTGAGCAAGAGCTTTTGTTCTTTGGAGGGGGATTGTTCTCGGCTGACAGACATCTGTCGGGAGAGGATAGTCTTTGAAGACTTGAAAGCAATCCGCAAGTGCCTGCTGCATATCATACAAGATCCGCAGATTGTTGTGATGTCCGGCAAAAACTCGATGAAAGATTGCCTCACGTCTACTCACGAGTATCATGTCGGCATTGTACTGTCAGTTCGCCTCGCCATGCCGCAGACTCACAGTCTTGGAATTTCGCGCCATGCGTGTGAGGTTCAACTCATGCTCCGGAAGTTTGCAGAGTCGCAAGATTCGACAAGTCATGAAGACTACGTCGCATACAGGTATGAGCAATGGCATGCTCGCACTTGTTCTATGTTTGACCTTGATGTGCAGGAATGCTTTTGACAGTCAGAAAACACGGGTGTTCTTTGACTTCAAGAAGACTCTGTCCTATTGTGGCAAAGCGCACAAGTATGCAAGCAGAGGCCCCACGTCTTCAGTCGCGAGTGAAACTCGAAACGCCGATGTTTCCCACCCGTTGCTGGAGGAAAGCGAACACTGGGTTGAGAGGTTCTGTAGATCGCGGGCCTGCCATGCAGGCAATGTGGTCAGCTCCCAGCTGTCTGTCATTCACGAAGCAATAGCGCGAGCAAGCTACAGCAGCTGCTTCTTCACCTCAACTCCCATCGCTGCTGCTCTGTGCAAGCCCGTGTTCCAGATGCTGTTCTGCTTGATAGGTCTGGTGTACTTCATTCAGGTCGGCTTCATCGTTTACGGCTACATGCACTCGGCACTCTTCGAGTACAAGGACTTCGTCTTCACAGTGAAGCAATTTGACGGAGCCCCTCTCAACGAGGGGAACTTCACCCTCTCCTCGTTCGGGCTGCTGAGGAGGGGATGCAGGGTAGCGTCCGCATCTCGGATCGTGCAGACAAGTCAAGTCTCTGCAGCGATCTCCATGAAGTCGTCGATGGTTGCCGACGGGTGGTACTACGAGCTGCCAGCAGGGACCAAGTCCTCTGATATCCCGATCTCCTTCCGCTTGGAAGGATCGCAGGACGGGAGGAGCTGGAGCCTTGCTGGAGCCTCGTCCTTCATCACAGGGGAGGCTGGCTGGGTTGCTCTGTCCGCAAGGCCCAATGGGAACCTGAGGAACAAGTGGGGATATCAGTATAACTACATCCCGCCGACCATATGGCTTGTCTCGTGGCTGTTCTCCTACTTCCTGAGCGGGGTCTTGTACTGGATTGCAGCGTTATCGTCCGTCCTCCATCTGTCTGTGTACGTCAAGCACATCGGAGGAATGGGATACCTCTTCGACGTCATCCTCACCTTGCTCCCCATCCCATGGCTGGTGGAGCAAGGGAACTCGGACGCAGCCATAGATTTCTTCTTGAGGGGAACGTGCTGGATCATGATCGGGTACTTCATCAGGTTTGCAGAGGCCTACTGGGTCATCGTGAGTGCGTTCGTCGGGATGTACTTCATGGGGGTCGAAATGATCATCATGTTCCTCATCCACGAGGACTCTCGGAACTTCTGGTTCCAGTTCCTAACCTCCTCCTTCATACAGTTCGGATCAGTGATGTTCCTCTTCGGAGTCTTGTCCATCGGTGCTCGCTGGCGCTTCCTGCTGAAGGCTGAAGAGTTGATCAGAGGGGACAGAGACAGCTACATGCACTGCTGGGAGAGGCTGTACGAGGACGAGTCCAACGTCGTCCACATGGACAACCTGCAAGCCATTGCCGACGCCGTCTCCTCCAAGGAGCGGATCCGCCAGCGGGTCCCTGTGGACATCGAGCAAGCTTGGAAGGACGTCGGCTTCCACGTCCCCTGCCGGAGGAACGACGTCATCACTCGCATCCATTCCTTGCTACATCCTGCTAGGCCTCAGTTCGAGGACGTGGAGTGTTTGGATCAGCTGCTCGCGCAAGCGGAGGGTCTCGACTCGTCGATGCGATTCCTTTGCCAGCGGTGGGCGGCAGCAACCAACGGATGCTTCCCGATGCAAGGTCCCCCACTCTCCTGCTCGCTCCTGCTCGCTCCTGCTCGCTCCTGCTCGCTCCTGCTCGCTCCTGCTCGCTCCTGCTCGCTCCTGCTCGCTCCTGCTCGCTCCTGCTCGCTCCTGCTCGCTCCTGCTCGCTCCTGCTCGCTCCTGCTCGCTCCTGCTCGCTCCTGCTCCCTCCTGCTCCCTCCTGCTCCCTCCTGGTCCTTCCCTCCCTCTCCTCCCGTCTCACCGTCCTCCTGTCCCCCACTCTTCCCCATCGACCGTCACCCGTGCATGACCAGTCGCCTGCAGGCAAGACATTCATGCGGTGGACGGAAGTGCTCGAGAAGAGGATGACGGATCAAGTCCAGTGGGCCAAGATCAAGAGGCCGCTGAGGATAATCGAGAAGACCCTGCGCTCCTACCGCCACGACCCGAGCTACCTCTGCGACATCTGCAGGCAGTGTATCGTTTTCGAGACCATGGAAGACCTTGTGAGATGCGTTCAACAAGTGATCTCAGACGAGGTCAGTCTCTTGCTCTTGCTCTTGCTCTTGCTCTTGCTCTCCGTCTGTCTCCACCTCCACCTCCACCTCCACCACCTCCACCTCTACCTCTTTCCTATCTCGTTCCCTTTCTCTTCCTCTTCCTCTATCCGCCTCCAGCTCTGTCCCCCGCTCAACCTGCATGCAGGACGTTGTGGTGGAGAGGATCAAGAACAGGTTCGTCGCTCTCAATCGTGGATCGAAGCATACCCTTCAGTGAGTTTGCTGTCCCTCCCGCTGCTCCGCTTCCCTTTCCTCTGCTCATCACTTCCTTTCTCCTCCCTCCTCCTTCTTGAACTCGCTCCTTGCGATTCTCACACCCTCTCTGTGTTCTCCTCTCCCTCTCCCTCTCCCTCTCCCTCTCCCTCTCCTGCTCCCCCCTCCCTGCATCCGACATCTCCGCACCTCCTCCTCTTCCCGCTCTGACCGATCCTCCTTGCAGGAAGGAGACATACAACTCCCTGCACAGCACCGGCTACAGAGACGTCATGGTCAACATCCGGGTCGTCTCCGACCGAGCGAAGCAGCTGGGGCTGTCCTGGCACATTTGCGAGCTGCAGCTCCTGCTGCTGGACTATGCCAAGATCAAGAGCGAGCTGGGGCACTCGCGGTACATCCAGTGGAGGAATACGAGGGGGGAGTGATGGCAGGGCACTTGTATCATAACTGTGTACATATGTACTCTTATTCTTTCCTTGCATGGCAGCGCCGTGGGGGCGGTGAGGTATACGATGTGAAGGTGAAGTAAAGGAGGAATGGTAGAGATCAAATGAATGGTTTCAAGGCGTGCACGTTGGTTGTTTCTTGCTCTGATCTTCTCCTGCCTGCTCCTCCGTGCTCTCCTCTCCTGCTATCTCCTTGCTTCTTCGTTGTTCCAGTCATCGTCTCGCCCTCCTCCTCCTCCTCCCCCCCCCCCCACTTCCCCCCTCCTTCCTCCCCAGCCCATATTCCCGGGGCTCCGTCTTTTCTCTGCCCGACCTGCGGTAAAGCCACAAACCTGAAATTCCCGCCAAAGCAGTCGCCGCATGGCGGAGGCGGCGAAGGCGGGAGGGGAGCGATGAGGAGAGAGCGAGTGTAGAGTGGCAGGGGGACGGAGGAGAGGGAGACGGGGAAAGGACGAGAGGACGAGAGGAGGAGAGGAGGAGAGGTAGAGAGGTGAAGAGGTGAAGAGGGGAAGAGGTGAAGAGGAGAGGAGAGAGAAGAGGAGAGCGGGAGACAGGAATGGGGGAGATGGGGAGACAGGAAGGGAGGGCGATGGAGGAGGAGAGAAGTAGGGGTAGGAGGAAGGGTGTGGTTTTCTGGAGCCTGATGAAACCTATTCTCAGCTGCAAACTTTTAGATACGAGGAAGGGCCAGGAGGGCATCAGACTAACAAGATGAAGAGATGAAGAGATGAAGAGATGATGGCGTCTCAGTCAAGCTTCTTCGCCAAGACTGACAACACCAACACCATCGTCGCCATGTTGTCCTCCATCCACCTCAGGAGGGACATCGTGAGACCGCTGCATTGTGCGCCTCCCCGCTGACCCTCCTGCAGGAGGCCTACTGCCTGATAGACGCGCATGGGATCAGGTTCACAGTGGAGAAGGGGAGGTGCATGCAGTCCAACGTGTACATGAAGAAGGAGCTCTTCACAAGGTTTGAGTGCGACAGGCGCCATGAGTTCGGCATCAACCTCTCCCTCCTCCTCGACTGTCTCAAGGTCCTTGGCCATGCCGATGCTGCCGACATGGTCTCGCTGCAGCTGAGCTACGCAGGGGAAGGCAGACCCTTCCTCGTGCAGATGGTCGAGGGCTCAGGTGGTTTGTGCTGCGCTGCATGGCTCGTCTGACGTCGCCGCAGTCGTGAGCTCCAGCGGAGTTCAACCAACCATGGTCAAGGAGCCGACGGACTTCTGCTGGAGCAACAGCTCGTCCAGGAACATGATCATCCTCCGTTCCCTCGCTCTGCGCGAGGCCTTTGCCGAGCTCAGCCTGTGGGGAGAGCAGCTTGAGATCTGCATGCAGCCGGTGGGGAACGCGGCCATGGGCTCAAGCGCCATGGCGGCGCTGAAGCTCAAGGCGACCGGGGAGCAGGGATCGTGCGAGGTCGAGCTGAACACAGCGTGTGAAGCTGTGAAGTCAGCGGACCTGCGGCAGGAGACGCATCACTCGTACCGGTTCTCCCTCCTCCAGCCGCTTGTGAAGGCGCTGGCGCTGTCGGAGACAGTCTGCCTCAAAGTGAACGAGCTAGGGATGCTGCACATGCAGCTGATGATACAGAAGGAAAGCGCGATAAGCACGTTCGTGGAGTTTCTGGTGTGTGCGGATGTGGAGGATTGAAGACGAGGGGGAAAGGAGGACGAGTGGGAAAGGAAGGGAGGGAGACGAAGGGAGGGAGGGAAGAGGAGGGAGATGGGAGGGAGGGAGAACCAGGGCAGGAGGAAGACGATCAGGACTGAAAGCAGCGAGATGAAGGGAGCGGGAAGTGCGCTCATGCGAGGAGGAAGTAAGGGTGCGTGAGCAAACAAGTCAATATAAAGCTGTTTATTTGTGCACCAAAGGATTGATTTTCAGGATCAAAGAGCAACAAGCATAAGGAGTCGGAGAAGTAGAGGAGGAGGAGGAGGAGGAGGAGGAGGAGGAGGAGGAGGAGCAGGAGGTGGTGGTGGAGGAGGAAGAGGAAGAGGAGAAGGATCATCTGCACAGGTCAATCCAGGCAACGTGCTGGTTCCTCTCCTCGTCCTTCATCCTCAGCAGCCGACCTCTCTGCTCCCTGCACTCACTCATGATGCTGTCGAGAGTTCGGAGAAGTTCCTCCCTCTCCCTGTCGTCCCTTCTCAGACGCTCCTCCTCCTCCTTCATCCTCCTCCTCAACCGAGCCAACCGCTCGTCGAGATCCTCCACCTTGTCTCGGACAGGAGCTAGCTCCAGCTCTACAGCAGGGCCCTGGTGTTGGGAGATCGCTGTCGAGGAGCAGAAGTCAGTGAGCGGGAGTATGCGCAGAGGGGTCCTACCTGCTGCTTTGGTGGGTAGAGCAGGGAGGGAGGAGGACGGGAACTGGTCCTGCCTTGCTGCTGGCATGCCTGCCGTGGGCCCTGCTCCCTGCAACCCGTTGGCGGGAGGCTTCGGAGGAGATGATGACAGGAGGAGGTCGAAGGAGGAAGGATCTGCCCTGCTTCCTGCGTGCGATCCTTCCAGCAGCTCTCCCATCAGGTCCGGCTGTCCTGCTCCACCTGGGGCCGCGAGCTTCCCCTGCTCCTCCTTGACAAGATCCTGGAAAGGGTCCCAGGCTTTCTGCTCCTTCACCTGTACAGGGGGGGACGCAAGGAGTTGAAACCTCCCGTTCGGCGCTGCGGCAGTTCTTCCGTCCTGCTCCTTCTCGTCCTTCTCGTCCTGTTTCTCCTTCACCTGCTCCTTTGTCTTTTCCTTGTCCTGCTCGTTCGCCTGCTCCTTGTCCTGTGGCTGCATCTTCCATGCATCTTGTTCGCCCGAGATGATTGCGTCGTCCTGAATTACAGGCGAAAGATGCGACGGGGCGGCAGGAGCAGCGAAGGATGGAGAGGAGGAAGGGATGGAAGTGGAAGACGGAGGAGGAGAGGTAGGAAGAGGAGGCTGGGTCCGGGGGGGGGAAGCAGCTACAGGAGGAGGAACAGGAGGAGGAGCAGGAGGGGGGGAGTTGGAGTGGGTGGCGCCTGGGAAGGAGAACAGATCCTCTCCCTGTCCCTCCTGATTCGTCTCGAAGCTCTCGAGGAGGTCACGCTGAGCAGCAATAGGATGCGGAGGCCCTGCAGCTGGGAAACTTTCCGTGCTGCCCCCCAGCAGGTCCAAAAGTTCCCCCGCCTCTGCCCTTGGTGCCTTCCCCCCTGGGAGAGGAGGAGAGGTCGCTGGCTTCGGAGGAGGAGGAGGGCTCCTCTTCGGCGGGGTAGTCGGAGGAGGCTTCTTGGGAGGAGGAGAGCTTGCGGCGAGCTCGGAGGGTGGCTGAGCCTCTGGGGAGGAAAGGAATTTCTGGTCAACGGAAGGACGAGAGAAGGTTGACGGAGATGAAGAGGAGGCAGCAGGGGAGGAGGACAGGGGAGGAGGCGAGGATGGAACAGGAGGGGGAGAGGAGAGGGCAGGAGGGAGCTCGAAGCCGAACATGCCATCCGTTGGAGGAGCAGAACGATGCTGTTCGAACGCAGGAGGAGGAGGGAACTGGGAGAAGAGGTCCCCTCCCTGGGAGGAGGATACCGCTGAGCCCTCTCCCTGCTCGGGGAGGAAGGAGGCTGACGGCTCTTGGGAGGAGGAAGGGAGCTGTTGCGATGAGCTGCTCCCGAACGGATCCCAAACTTCCTCCCCCTTCGCATCCTTCTTGGCTGGAGAGAGCCCGCCCGCCGTGCTGGACATCGGCTGCTGAAAGTCAGCGGGTGGGAAGGAGGAGGAGAAGGAGGTGACTTGGTCTTCCTGTACCAGGGAGGCGAAAGGGTCCTGCAGATTGCTGTTCGGGGAGGCAGGAGCGAAGGAGGATGAAGGGTCCTCGATGTCGGGAGCGGCGAAGGAAGTCCACTGGGAAGAGAGCTTGCTGCCTCCTGCGAAGTGATCGTCTCCCTCCTGCGCAGAGCTGTTGGTGGCGTCCTCGAACCCCGAGGGGGAGGGCAGGACGTGAGGAGGAGAGGAGGGCGCGATCTTGGTGTGCTCCTCCACCAATAGCGCGTCGAAGGCGCCGAGGAGAGGGGAGGGTGAAACAGCTGCTGCTGCTGCTGCTGCTGCTGCTGCTGCTGCTCCGTCATGCAGTTTCCTTTGCTCATGGCCAGTAGCCCCTCCCCCTCTGTCCTTGCTATCGCTGTCAGCCATGGAGCCGAGCAGCTCGTGGGGACTGGGGAGAGGAGCAACGATCGATCCCCCGTGATGATCGTCGTGGACAGGCTTGTGCGGTGAGGAGGAGGAGGAGGAGGAGGAGACATCGAGGTCAGCAGGGGGGAGGACGAGGCTCGCCGGAAGCTCCTCCCCCTTCCTCCTGCTGATGATAAGATGCATGGCGACGGCGAACTCCCGCGCATCCAGCATCCCGTCCTTGGTCAGGTCCGAGAGGTCCCAGATCCTCCTGAGCTCCTGCACGGGGAGGCCGGACTCAGCAAGGATGGGACGCGCCTGCTGCCCGGAGAGGTGGAGGGAAGAGCCGGCGAGGGCCCGAAACCTCCTCGTGTAGTTCGCGAGCTCCATCTGAGACAGCCCGATCGTCCGCATCAGCCGAGAGAACCGAGGAGACACGGCTCCTTCTCCTGCTCCTTCTCCTGCTCCTGCTCCTGCTTCAGCGCTGCTGCGGATCCCATCCTGGCTGGACCTCTGGCTTGCTTCACCATGGCTGCTGTCTCCTACTTTGTTCGGCACGTCCTTTCTGTCCTGAAAGGAGGAAGCAACAACACTGGCAGAGCGAACAGCTTCATCGAGCTCAGTGGATGCACGAGGAGCAGGAACGGTTGCAGCGAGCGCGGGGGAGCTCCCCTCCTTCACACCCGGTACCTCGAGGTGGAGCAGTTGCTGGGGGAGGGAGGTGGGAAGGACGCCATCTTTCTTCCGGATCTCGATCAGGTGCATGGCGACGGCGAACTCCCGCGCATCCAGCATCCCGTCCTTGGTCAGGTCCGAGAGGTCCCAGATCCTCCTGAGCTCCTGCACGGGGAGGCCGGACTCAGCAAGGATGGGACGCGCCTGCTGCCCGGAGATGAAGCCGTCATGATCTGAGTCGTGCTGATGGAAGAGCGCAATGTAGGAGGCGACTTGCGGCGGGTGGAGCGCGGGGACCAGCTGAGGGTGAGGAGGGGGCTGGCTGACGACCACAGAGGAGGAGCTGCTGCCGGCAGAGGAGGTGGGCTCTAGAGCGGGGGAGATGGCAGGGAGCGAGGAAGAGGAGGAGGGAGGAAAGTTCGGGGTGGATACCATGGCGGGGCTGGGGGGAGCTGGTCTGCGAGAGAAGTGAGAGCGAGACCAGGCACGAGGAAGGGAGGAGGGAAGCGGCTTCTCCCTCCTCGCCATCCCCATCAGATGCTGCGCTATGGCGAACTCATGCGCGTCGAGCTTCCCGTCCTTGGACTCGTCCGCCAGGTCCCACACAAGCCTGAGGGTCGAAGTGGAGAGCCCTGACTGCATCAGGAGCTGCTTCGCCTGCCTGCCATCCAGGTAGCCTGTCCTCCCTTCGTCGATGGCCTCGAACACCTTGCAGTGCTCTTCGTACTCTGCCATGGTGAGCTCGACGTCTGCCCCACCTTCCTCGCGCTCCGCTGCCATGCTCTTGGGCGATGGGAGAGGATTATGCAGCGGGAGGACTTCGCCCATGACGTAGTCCGAGCTCGACGTGGTGCGAGAGGTCCTGTCCTGCTCCTCTGAGCCCCGCAGGAACTGAGAGGACGTGAAGGTCGCGGCGTGAGGAGCAAAAGTGGAGCTGAAGGTGTTCGTGCTTCCTGCTCCTGCCATGACGGTGGCGGGGGGAGCTGGGGGCTGGGCTGAGCTGCCGGCAGGTTGGTTGGCGAAGGCGGGGAAGGGGAAGTCACCCTGGAAGCTGGAGCAGACGCTCATGGTGGGCTCGTACTGGTTCTGAGCAAGAGAGATGAGCCTGAGGGCGAGGAAGAAGCCGTCCTGCAGGAGGTCGATCAGCAGGGGGAGGCAGAGGGGAGGGAGGGGAGGGAGGGAGGGAGGGAGGGAGGGAGGGGGAGGGGGGGG